TTTGTTTTTAATCCTGAATGTACTGATTTTAAATTGTTCAAGTTTTTTGGTATTTTGTGTGGAGTTGGCATCAGGACAAAGAGACCTCTTAATCTTCACTTGGCTCCTCCAATGTGGAAACTGGTAGCTGGAATGAACCTTACCATACAAGACCTTGAGGAGGTGAGAAATTATTATTATTATTAATTTTATTAATTTTTTTATTATTTATTTATTAGATTGACTTGTTATTCACGAGAGCGTTGGTTGGTATTAGAGATGTTGATAAAGGAGGAGTTACTGAAGATAATTTCTCTGAGGTACATGCACAGTACATGTACTAATGAAGTACTTGTATTGATTTCCTTTTGCTAAATGTATGTATAAAGTTTGAGCTGATCCTAAGTTCAAATTCTGGAGCTACTATAAGCACTTTTAAAATAAGCAAATTTTTTAAAAATGAAAGGCTAAATAATCCATTATAGCCCATAGTTTTTTCTGAAAAATGGCTCCAAAATTATCCCTACTTTTTTTACATTTCCTGATACATATTGATGTATTTATGCTACGTAGAAAGTTTGAGCTGATTCCAACTTCAATTTTTTGAGTTATAGCCATTTTTTAAAAACTCCAAATTTGTAAAAAGTACCCAAGGCTATAGCCCATGGTTTTTTCGACAAAATCGCTCCGAAATCACCCCCAATTTTTATCACATTTTCTGATACATATTGATGTACTTATGCTATATAGAAAGTTTGAGCTGATTCCGACTTCAATTTTTTGAGTTATGGTCATTTTTTAAAAACTCTGAATTTGTGAAAAGTACCCAAGGCTATAGCCCATGGGTTTTTTCCAAAAAATGGCTCCAAAATCACCCCTAATTTTTATTAAGTTTTCTGATACATATTGATGTACTTATGCTATATAGAAAGTTTGAGCTGATTTCGACTTCAATTTTTTGAGTTATGGTCATTTTTTAAAAACTCCGAATTTGTGAAAAGTACCCAAGGCTATAGCCCATGATTTTTTTGAAAAAATGGCTCCGAAATCACCCCCAATTTTTATCACATTTTCTGATACATATTGATGTACTTATGCTATATAGAAAGTTTGAGCTGATTCCAACTTCAATTTTTTGAGTTATGATCATTTTTTTAAAAACTCCGAATTTGTAAAAACTACCCAAGGCTATAGCCCATAATTTTTTGAAAAAGTGGCTCCAAAATCACCCCTAATTTTTATTAAATTTTCTGATGCATATTGATGTTCTTATGCTGTGTAGAAAGTTTGAGCCAGTTCCAAGCAAATACTCTCAAGTTATGGGCACCTGAGAATAGAAAAACCCTTCCCTATTGTAAATCATGTTATACAATACTCTCCTTCTTCTTGTGTAGATGATTCCTCTTGAATGCTTTGAGGCTCAGAGTATGTCTGGACAGTTTGTTCCCATTGTCCCTAATGGACACGACATCAAATTAACTTTCAAGAACAGAAACGAATACTTTGAGAAAGCTCTTCATTTTAGATTACACGAACTAGACAAACAGGTTTGGTGAAAGCAATCTTAGGATAATAATATTTTACACTAATACTCTTGTTGTTTTAAGGTTGCTGCCATAAGAGAAGGTCTATCACTGATTGTACCATTACCATTACTA